CACCCGCGCTTGAACATTTGCAGTTATTGTTTATATTTTACGTGTTTACAAGTGTTATGGTAATAAAAAAACATGTCTTTTTGGAAAAAGTAAGTGAAACTATTTTTTATAGTATATGCTTTGATGATATGTGCAAATGTAATCGAGTACAACGAAAGGAAAAAATATATTTTTTTCGATTGAATACAAACCAGTATGTTAAAAAATATGCCCTAAAAATTGGCTACTCAACTTTGAACTATTGTATTTAGTATTTATTTTTGAGTAATTACCTTTGAATCATATAGCTTTATAACAAGGATACAAGCATTTATTATGATATAATAATAAATTTTACCATAATCGATCTTGTTTGGTAGTTATTAACTATTCTTATAAGTGTTTTGGATTTTTGCCGTTATGATTTTACAGGTACTTACGAAAATTGTGTTACTATATAATATTTTTACATTGTAATTTCCACATTGTTTTAGACACACACACTTATCGGAAGTTAGAGTCACTAGATGAGGACCGATGACATGAGGTTGTGTGGTTATAACAGATGATCAGGCCATACAAAAATTAGACGTTGGTGATGACTCTGATCGTTTCGACGATCAAAGTAACACACTTTGAATAATGGCATACTGAGCACACGTTTTAATGCCAACAACCACAGGAATTTTTTTTCTAGCACCACCACCTATTCAACCATCGCCTCCTTCATAGGCTCCGCTATCTCCACCACCACCGCCGCTATCACAGAGTACCGAGGGTATTACGAGTTAATTTCTAATTAAGAAATTAACTCGTGGTGGGATGATGAGGTACGGGTGGAAGTTGAATCAAAGAAGAAAGCATGGTTAGATTTACTAGCAACCAAAGCTGGTAATTCTTCTGGTATGAATGATGAGATTGAAAGAAAAAAGGCAGAATTTAGACGTCTAAATAAGACAGTAAAAGAAGTTGTTGAAAGGAAAAAGAAAGAAACAATGGATAAGAATGATAGAAGGATATCTGATAATTTCCAGGCTAACATAAAAATGTTCTGGAAACTCGTAAGAACTGCCAGGGGAAATACAAAACAGCCTATAATAAATGCTATAAGAGACGAGAATGGATGTATTCTGAATGATGAAGTTTCGAATTTAAACAGATGGAAGGAATACTTTGAAAGCGTGTTTATGAGTGAAGAGTCGTATGAATTAAATGAACTAGAAATTCCGAAAGAAGTGGAAAGGGGTATGGAGATAAGTGTAGATGAAATAATGAAAGCAATGAAAAGCATGAAAGCAGGTAAGGCAGCTGGATATGATAGAGTATCACTCGAGATGCTAAGGGCTGGAGAGGGAGTGGTGGCAGGCCTGCTGTACACCTTGTTTAATTTATGTTGGGAATTAAAACGGGTACCGGATGACTGGTGTAAAGCAGTTATAGTACCAATATATAAAGGAAAAGGGTCACAGCAGGACTGCAAAAACTACCGCGGTATCAGCTTGCTTAGTATTGTGGGTAAACTGTATGCTAAGGTGTTAATTGAAAGAGTTATGAAAGAAACTGATGGAAAAATTTGGGATGTGCAAGCGGGTTTTAGAAAGGGAATGGGGGTGCACAGATCAAGTCTTTTCCATGCGCATGATTGCGGAGAAGTTTTTGGCCAAAAACCAGAAAGTTTTTTGTGCGTTCATGGACTTGGAAAAGGCTTATGACAGAGTGGACAGGAATGTGTTATGGCAAACACTGAACTCATATGGGTTGAGCGCTGGTTTGATACAGGCATTAGGGTCTCTTTATAGGGACTCTAGTGCTTGTGTCAGGATCAATGGGGTCCACTCGGACTGGTTTGGCATCCAAAAAGGTGTCAGACAGGGCTGTGTGGCTTCCCCTTGGCTGTTCAACCTATTTATGGACCGGTGTTTGCAAACTTTGAAAGATGAAGAATGTGGGTTAAGAATAGGCGAGTTAACCGTCAAATGCCTTTTGTATGCCGATGATCAAGTCATACTTGCGTCATCGGCGGCAGAGTTGCAAATGATGGTTACATTAATGAACAGGGAATTAAAAGAAAGGGGAATGAAAGTGAACGCAAGTAAGACGAAAGTGATGGTTTTTGAAAGAGAAGAAAGCAAAACGGTATGTGAAATAAGAATAGAAGGAGAGTTGATTGAGCAAGTGGATGAGTTTGTGTATTTGGGATGTGTATTTAGCAGGGATGGTAGATATAATAGGGATATAGAACGACGAGTAAATGCAGGGAATAGAGTGAATGGGGCACTACACTCTATTATGAAGAACCAGAATGTGTCAAAAAAGGCACGTATGGTAATTCATAATGCTGTGTTAGTCCCTACGTTAATGTATGGTAGTGAAAGCTGGGTGTGGCAGAAGAAGCACGAAAGTAGAATAAATGCTGTAGAAATGCGGTCTTTAAGGAGTATGTTAGGGTTGAATCTGAATGACAGGGTGAGAAATTGCGTGATAAGAGATAAATGTGGTATGCAAGATGATGTTGTGACCGGGATTAAGAAAGGAATGCTTCGGTTGTTTGGTCACGTAGAAAGAATGAATGATGAAAGAGTGACAAAGCAAATTTATATGGCAGATGTGAACGGCCGAGTCGGGAAGGGACGCCCTAGAAAAAAGTTTGTCGACCAAATTGGCGATATTTTGAAAATGGGCCACGTTAGAAGTACCCTTAACCGACGAGCATGTATGCGTAGATATATGGATGTAAAGGAGGCGAAAGAGGTATGTCAGGATCGTGCCAAATGGAAGTCCGTAATCTCTGCCTACCCCTCTGGGTGACAGGCGTGAGTGTTTATGTTTATGTTTATTATGACGCATGTCCTCAAGACAATTTAGTAAATGAAGATCTAAATAAGTGTAGAAATAAAAGATTTCGAGATCCACTGATGTACAAGAATAGTACCTTCAATTATTACGTGGGCATACAAACCGAAGTTCATCTAAATATCAGGAGATTAGAAATAACCTTTGCTTCATTTTTGCGAAAATGAAGAGAGCTATCATAAGCTTATAAAATTTTCTAAGAAAAATTGGCGTAGATATATATACTACAGTACCGCGTCTAAGCCAAAGAGAAGTGTCTATGAATGCGTACAATGTGATGTAGCCCTATATGTAGAATGCTTTGTACCGTTCCATAATGAGGGGCAAATTAAATTACGTATCATTCAATTGATAATACCTATTACAATGTTTGATTGTGATAAGCAAAATTTAAAACCTATGTTTTCAAAGAAATATTTTGTGTTAATTATATTTGTTATTGATGACTGATTGTTCTATCTTAACCCTTTAACGCGCAAGTAATTTTTTTTTCGTAATTTAATAGTTCTTGTACAAAAAATATATTTCATATAATAACAATTTCCATAAAAATAATAAAAAAATATTTTGAAAAACTGTTTTTGAGAAAACATATGCTAATTATACTCAACATCACGAAAGATATAAAGAATTAAAGGTATGTAGAGACGTTAAGTATTTTCAACATTGCTCTTTTATGGATGATCAAAAATAAAACGAATACATTAAAATAAAAAAGTTTACTGTTTTACATGGAAGTTATAGAAACAATTTCTCTTACTCACTAAGCATAGTCTCAAAGAACATTTGGTACATTGCATATTTGTGAAACCGTTTTTACAAAATTTGCACCTACCATAGGGAACAAATACTGGCAAATGCCCAGTGTTATCGTATCGTACAGCATCAGGTGATCTCGGCGCAGATGGTAATTGAATTTGGGCAGCAGCATTATTTTCCTTATTCGTGTCTTTGGGAACTCTATTTTTTTTTTCAATAGTTCTGTGCATACATTAATCCGGAACTTTTTTAATGGCATGCATTTACTGAGTGATATTTTGTTATCTCTTTTGTATAACAGCCATGCATTATTGACACATATGTCTATGGCTTGCGAAAATATAGCCATGTACCACCTCTTGGTTTTGAAAGAACTGCAATAAATTGCGATTAACATATCGGCCAGGTCGACGCCCCCCATGTGCAAGTTATATTGTTTTATTATTTGAGGACAATCAACTTCTGCCCTTGTCTTAGCATCTTTCGAATAACGCTTGATTTTTTCAATAGGGTGCGAATCCACATATGAACTAGCAAGGGTAACAGTTTTATTGTCATGCCATTTTATAACAGCAATTTTATTTTTATTGCAAACCACTTGCTTGCTTGAACCCCTTCCTTTTTTTTGCCAAATTTTTATCTGTAGGTAGTTTATCTTCACATCCTCTCAGTCTATTGCTTCTAATTGTGCCCAAGCTGAATAATCCGTACTCGTCACGTAAAAGATGTATCAATTCAAGTGACGTAAAAAAAGTTATCGAAGTATAAAATTGCAGGTCTTTTCTGTATAGTCTTCGCCAGAGCCTGAACCACTTTAGCCCCTAAGCCAAGGCTGTTTTCATACTCGTTAAATGACATGCCCCTAAAAGTATCGTCACCACCATATGGCAAAAATCATATACTAGCCCCGAAACTCCTGCTCGTATAAACATTTTGAAGCCCCATTTTTTGGGTTTTTTTGGCAGATACTGCCGGCGGCTGCCTGCCCTAGTGCCTTTATAGGGTACCATCATTTCATCGATGCTGTACCTTCCTTCTTCTTCAACTAATAGGCAGTTTTGTCTTATTTTCTCGAGGATGGGACGTATTTTAAAGTAACGGTCATCATTTGCATCGATATTATTCGAAAAATTGAGGTATTTTCTAATTTGTTCATACTTTTTCAGAGGCATGACATCGGCAATAGGTGCATATCTTAACGTTTGACTCCAATAGTCCCTGTAAGATGGCATTTTCACTACTCCCATTAAAATGGTTATGCCGAGAAAGTCACGAATATCATCTTTGGATATATCTATGCCTTTCGCTTGCCCCCTCCACATTGTACAGCATATAAATTTGTTTGATCCACTATTAGATCTTTTTTTGAAGATTTTTTGAAGATGAAGATTCTTTTTTTTCGCAAGATATTAATCTTGCGAAAAAAAAGAATAAAAGTAGTCAAGAGTAGATTTAGTATCGGTAGGTGTGCTGAATTGAAACAGGTCTTCAACAGTTCCTGCATATTTAAATTTACCTTTTGTCCATTTGAAATTAAGAGGTTTGCGGATATATTTTTTTACCTTTTTTGTTACTAATTTCGGTCTATTGATAGCTTTTCTTTTATTTGATCTTGTATTTTCCGGAAGTGCAGATAAAAGTGGCGAATTTAATGTAGGTAAGGTATGTAGTAACTCTGACCCTGGTCTAAATATCTCATTCATAAGTGGAATCAATGGGACTGTATCTTCTTCGTAAGGAGATATGGGAGATTCTGGATTTTGTTGGAAATTGGAGTTACTATTATCAGATAGATCGTCCAGGATATTTAACCTTTCTAAAGAATACTCTATTGATTTTGGCTCGGAACTAAAATCAGATAAGTCATTCGTCTCAACGTGTTCTAGTAATTTAGGAACCTGGTCTTCATCTTCTGAAGTATTGCTACTATCAGAAGGGGCGCATGCAGGAGGCACCAAAGCCATAATACGCCTAGTCCGCTCCCATTGTGGTTTTACCTTCAATAACCAAAAAAAAGTATGCAAAACCCAAATAACCAAGCAAATACACTTAAAGAAATTCGCATAATTTCAAACAAACCCAAATGCATTACATTTAAAACAATAACCATTAAAAAGATAGCTATTAAAAACCATAACTCATTACCAAAAAAACACAAACATAAAAAACACCATATAAAACAGCATTAATGTTACTCTATGTGTCGGGCAACGTTGAGTATTCTTAACGTACCCAGTTATATGTACTTTAGTCTATGTCTCGTAACGTTAAAATTACTCAACATGCATCAAACGTTTGTTTTATTACATTAGTAAATGCAGTTGGGGATGCAATAATAAGATGAAAACAAAGGTTAGTTATTTGCAAACACAATTATAGCAAAATAAATGTACAAATCTTATGACAATCGCGAAATTCAGAAATAAATTACCTTACGGTCACGCATTGCTGCTGTACCCGACGCCATTTTGCGGCTATCAAATTTTGACGTGTGACGTGTGAGATACTTTTTTTTAGCTTGTCAGTTTGTTTGCCTCTCCGATTGTAAAGTGTTACCATATAAATAATCAACAATTTCTAACAAATAAATATTTTTATTAATAGTTGAGTATAGTTAACATTGCGAATTAAAGGGTTAAGTTAGTATAATATGTTCTATTACTAGGCTATTACTAGGCTAGTTAGGAAAATCGTAATTGAAGTAATTTTTTATCACTTCACAAAAGTAATATAGATTTCGTTAGTATCCACTTTACTGGCCAGTGACTTTGCAATGATGGTTAGTGACGCAGAACGTTCAATGGCCAGTTTACGGGCCACATGATTTTCTGGATTTTATCGAAAAACAACAATTTTCAGGTATTTTTTCTACACATGTGATTTACGGCACAGAATATATTTGTATCACAAAATATATGGAATTAAAAAAATTAAGGTGTGCGTTAAAGGGTTAAGAGTGTCTAAGACAAAAATAAAAGGAAAATAATATTTATTATATATTTTATATTTTTTACTTTGGCATTTACGAAAATGTAATGAGTGTGCACAAAAATAGGACAGGTGAAAAAATTGTTATATTTACTTTGTAAATACTAGGAATAGACACAAGCTAGTAGTACCGTTTACTGGCCTCCACATACACAGTAATTAATTGTGGGGCTATGTATACCCTTCTACAACAAAATCCAGAAAATATTCAAAATAAGTCCTACGCTAAGAACGAAAACTTAATTATACAAAGATTTTTTATAAGTGGTTATTATAATATTAGTGACATATCGATGATGATGACAGTCCCTGTGAATGAGATGATAGCTGGCAACTATTTCTAATTAGTTTTGTGTAGTTAATTGTGCAACCATAATATATGTGTGTAAACATTTTTTTTTACAAAAGAAATAATATTTACCGCCCGGTTAAATAAATTTATAGCAAGCGTTTGACTCTGAGCCACCACTTTTTATCGAAAAATTCGTTATAATTGTACTATTGAACGATCACATAAAGTGAAAATATCACAGATTCGGAAATTAAATTTTCTTTATGCAATAAACTTTAACTTTTTATCGGAAATTCAAGCTATTTTGTCAATTCAAGTCATGTTATCTTATTATAACCGTAGTACCTAACCAAACGTTGTTGCTAGGATCGAAATATATAAATAGATATCATCATCATTTCTATATGTATATAAAATTAATCAAAAAAATGCGTATTAAAATCAATGACATACGACACGATGTAGTCTCGCGATGTCCTATCGAATAGTAAAGTTCAATTCACATTTACTTTCGTTTTAAAAATAGCATTTACTATTACGTAGTATGTTCAGTACATAGCGTAGCAGACACGGCATTCAAGTTTTCATATCCATCGATAGATGGTTTACGGACCACTCACAGACGCATCTTCCCAAATTGTTTCATTAGATCTTAGTATTTTTTCCTTGCCATCTTGTTTCGACATAAGAGGGGTAACGAATCAGTATATTATGTGAAAACATAGAGCCACTCGTTATAGCGATTACTGTCTTATTAACCCTTTCGCTGTCCCGTGTACCATATTTAGGTCTTTGCTATTGTCTTACTATTGTGTCTGAAAATCGGAGAATGAAAGTGTTAAGCTGAGGGGGTTATTTGCATGCCATAACATTTTTTGTCAGTCTGTCCGTCTGCTCGGGCATTATTCATAAATTACTATGATGCATAAATATTTTCTATGATGATTAGGTATCTTAAATAAAAATAGCGCTATATTGAAAGATCCTACCCTGACGAAGATGGAAAGGGTCGCTTCTAAATAAAACAATTCAGCGACACAATTATTTTTATAATAATGATCGTAATTCATACTATCATTTTGCGTACGTTTTTGGTGCATAATATAAAATGTCACAACCTTTTCCAAATATTATTGATGGAATATAGCTTGCTCATCGCTACACGAGTAAACTAATCCTGTAGGATGGATTACATTTAAAAAAAATCTTAATCAACCTATAATTGAACTGTACCACAACTAAACTAAGATGACGGAAAAATTACATTGAAACATATTACGAGTTATTTGATTCTATTACGGTATGTTACGTTGCGTATAGTTTAATTTCTATAAAAGACATCATTAAAAGTCTTTAAAAAATTCTTAACAAAACTATGTTGGAACTGTTTCACAACAAAACAAAGATGATTAAAATCGAAATTGAAACTGAAATATAATATCCATAACTAGAGTAAAAAAAACACTCCTTTATATCTTTAAATTAGAAAATTATTATATCTCCTATAATATACTCGTCAAGGCAAAGAGCTCGGAAGCAATTCAATAGATTGCGTTCGCTCTCTGGTGTAATTGGCTTCACGACACTCGTTGTTATTCACTTGAAGAGCCTTGAGAAGTAGGTACCTACGTCTCCTCTCATCACACACGCGAAATTAAAATTTAAACACCTTATTTTAGAACAGCTAAAGAAAAAAGTATTGGTTCAGCAACTTTATAGTGGAACTGTATTTTTTTTTAATGCAGGCTTATCGTGTTTACTGACCGTACAGTGGCCGTGTTACAATATCTACTACGCCATATCGTATCGTGAGTGGCAGAATAGTCGACAGTGGGAAACAAACTAGGAAATGCGCAACAGCGTCTTTCTAATAACAACTGGAAAATAAAAAAAAAAATCTTTGGTAGCCAAACCACCTGCCAAGAGTGGCATCTATGTAAAATATCCCCCATATGAGACAATCTATTCACTTATTTACATAGTCCGATAGGATGGCAACAAAAATATTTAAAAAAGACTCAGGCTTGGCTTTATATGCTTTCTAAGCCAATGGATTGAAGCACCGCCAACTTATTGACTCCGGACTGCTACTGCAAAATTCTTGCCGGGAAATCATTATAACTGACTTCTGGTCGACCCGATAATTAAATCTGTAATTAGCAGTTAAGTTTATGACCACTTGATCAATAGTCACATCACTATATTTGTGTGATAACAATGTGATCTACTTTGCCAGGCACCAAAATATTTTAACTTTCGTCTTCTTCATCGTCTCGGTCCACGGATGGACATGGACAAGTTTGGACAAAACTTCAAAGTATATACCAAACAAACGTATGGTTAGGTATAACAAGGTATGGTAGACTATGTCAATCCAAGATATTCAATGGTATAAATTAATTTAAAAATGTAAAAGTGACTTTGTAAAATATAATGAAAAAATAAAATAATTATATAACATGCTGTGATTAACTTTAAGTGATTTTACATTTATAAATAAGATTACCATAAATTTCTTTAAATTCTGTAATCGTAACAAAAAAAGAGTGTAATTCAATAGCATTCGAATTCGATGCTAAGACATAACTAGTGTCAGCTCTGGTGCTCGGAGGTGAAGTAAATCATCGCAAAGAAACAGAACCGAAATTATTTAAACACACTTCACTACGTACAACAACGATCACTACGTGTTCGCTACCCTACTATAGTTCGCATTTCTGTAAATATTTTTTCTTGTTCTTATCATTCGTCTTGCAAAAAAAATATCTTTAGTATATAAATAACTTTAAAATTGTTAAATATGTCATCTCCACCTCTTTTGTTTTGGTTTCGCATAAAATACCAAATTTTAACTACCTACATGAGCGGTTCACAACTATACACAATACAATGTATTACGACAGCTCATTTCGTATAGGAAAGTACAAGACATGTTTTTTTTTAATATGAAACGGGTGTGACAAACGAGCGTTCACATAATGCTAAGTGGATGCTGTGCCCATAGACATCTTCATTTATCTTCGATTAACACAAAATATTTCTTTGAAAACATAGGTTTTAAATTTTGCTTATCACAATCAAGAATCAAAATGCAGATTAGTTATCGCTCCTGAGAACTACGGTGGAATGCCTCGTTTCTGGTAAAAAGGGTGTCCGAATTAGGCTTATAATTTACCATGGGATTCCGTGAGAGCATGATCCCTTCCTGATCGAGCTGACGCTTTCGTGCTACAATCATGTTATAGCTGCAGCGTGGCTCTACCACGTAAAAAGGTTAAGTTTATATTGTATTCCCGAAACTCTTTAAGCCAGCATTGTAAAACGTTTTCAAGCTACTAAACTGGAAAAGATACAGTAATTCACTACTCATCTCCAATTTGCGGTCAATATAGTCCTAATGGTAGAATCGCTGGAGGATCTAAACACTATGCTCAATGATGTGACCCAACGGATATGTCAAGTCATGAACATGGACAAAACAAAAGTGTGTAAAGTTCATGTCACACCTAATATGCCGGTAGTTGCTGGGATACACTAAGGTCAAAGTTCTCGACGAGTATATTTATTTACCTATGACAAATAGTCCGACTAGTTAAGTCTGACTTCGTCATCTAGGTCTAAAGCTATGGAGAGGACTGTTTCTCTTCATGATAGACTTAGAAATGAGTATATCCGCAGTAGAACCAAAGTAACATAGCCCAACATATTAACAGAGTAAGCTGAAGTGGCAAAGGGCTGGCCTGGCTGGCATACAACGGATGGGGAGGAAAGGTAAGCGAAGTGTAGGCGGCCCCCCACTAGATGCAGTGATGACCTGGTATGATACGCAGGAAATCTATGGTTGCAGGCTGTGGCTCAGGACTATGCCTTGTGACATTCCCTGGGGGAGGTCTATGTTCAGCAGTGAACTTGTGAAAGGCCTTAATGATGATCTCATTTCGGATACCTTCAGCATGATTAATTAACATTAAGTTGATTTGACGCAATAACAAAAAGTAAAAATATTATTATTTATTGAATAATAACGATTTAAATTTATCTTAAGTGTTAGTTACGTAAACTTTAACTAGCAATAGCAATTGCAAGTAAAAGTTTAGGTAAGTAACGCCAACAACAAACAAACCAACGACAAGTCCTTAATTAATTAATATAAAAAGCTTTTAATTAAGAATGCGATCTTCCACAAG